TAGTCTCTTTCAGGGCATTATCTTCTGTTGTGGGGAGTTTTTTCACATGCTTTAGAAAAGTGATTTAAATGCTTGAGGTGATTTACATTTTTAATTTTTTTTTTTCATTGACATGGCTAAGCCAGTGAAGCTGTGATGCAAATATTCATCTGCTGCTCGTGCCATACAAGGTACTTTGTGTAGCTTAATTGGTTCTGCTGAGTCTCAGTGTAGGATGCTGTTGTGAGACTTCAGTATTGATATAACTCTCCACACGAGAAGGGCATTGCATTTCTCTGCTGGCATAGCCAAAGGGAGTCATGTCTTTAGTGCAGACTTTGCACTGTGAATGACCTTGGTAAATCCCAAGAATTACTTGCACTGGGTCATCATGTTCATAAGCCTTTGTAGGATCAACTGCTCATGTGAAAATCAACCTGATCTTTACCATTTCAGTCAAATTCTGCCTGAAGTGCAAATAATTCTGAGTCTTGCTTTTTCATTTGAGTTCCTTGCAATGCTAAAAATGAGGCCTCTCATTAGGTAAAATGGCAAATATTTAATATATATATATATATTTAGTTCATAGTATAATTAGTACCTTTCTATTTTATTTTCTAGAGATCTATAAGCTGAGGCATATTGGTATTCTTTAATATGCAAATGCACAAAATATTTCAGCATTGAATGGAGAATCAAATCTCCATTCAATCAGTAAATCAAATTTACTGCTAAAAATATTTGAATTGCAGCTCTCTCCAGCTCTGAAAGCACTTAGCTCTTAGTCCAGCTCCCAAATGATCCCAATATTCCACGAGAAGATAGGAAACAAACTTTGCGGAACTTGGGTCCAAGATTTTGATATCTGATTTTTTACCTAAAGAAGTAAATTTTATGTATATTTGAAATGCAGCTGAAACATGGTTAAGGAGAGGTAAAATGTCACTTTTTCTGAAAAGCATGAGTCATCAGTCTTCTGTCCCTGACCATCATCTCTAGTACCTTGGTATATTCTGGGGTATGATTTGTTGAATTATTTTAAATTCAGAATAATTTTAGATATTTGTGATGTAATTTTTTGCAGAACAAACGAAATGGCAAACTTTGCCAACAGGACCTCAGAACTGGAACAGATCACATTGGTCAGCTGACCAATTTACAGAATAGTTTATGTGTTATTTGAATAAAATGTGGGAAAGTCATATAATATCTATAAAAAATCCCCTTATTTGGTGGCATCAGTTTTATTTTTTCAGTAGTCATCTGTGTTCTGATGTCATTTCTGGTGTCTGTCCTCTGCATGGTGTTGGCTCTCCTTTACAGTGTCTCTGTCTGAGCTGTATCAGTTGTTATTTTTAAATGCTAATGTGCCTTATTGCCATTGTAGAAGATTTGTTAGCATGAGAATTTTCTATCAAATATGGTAAAATCATTGGGTTTCTTTATCACAATTAAAATATGGTATTTATGTTTTTTTCTGTTGTTGGATGTGTGCTTGATCACAGAATCACAGGATGGGTAAAGGTTGGGAGGGACCACAGTGGATCACCTGGTCCCACCTCCCTGCTCCAGCAGGGTCATCCCAGAGCACATGGCACAGGATTGTCTCCTGATGGTTCTGGAATATCCCCAGTGAGGGAGACTCCTCACCCTCTCTGGACAATCTGTCGCTTGCACAGTAAAGAAGCTCTTCCTCATGTTCAGGTGGAACTTCCTGGGCACCAGTTCCTGCCCGTTGCCTCCTGTCCCATTGCTGGGCACCCCCGAGCAGAGCCTGGTCCATCCTCTGACCCCTCCCTGCAGACACTGACAGACATTGATGGGGTCCCCTCTCAGTGTCTCCTCTCGGGGCTGAACAGCCCCAGCTCTCTCAGCCTTTCCTTGTCAGGGAGATGCTCCATCCCTTCATCATCTCCACAGCCTCTGCTCTGCCTGCTCCAGGAGTTCCATATCCCTGCTGTCCTGAGGAGGCCAGACCTGGACACAGCACTGCAGATGTGCCTCACCAGGGCTCAGCAGAGGGGCAGGATCACCTCCCTGACTTGCTGGCAATGCTCGTCCTAATGCACCCCAGGATACCATTGGCCTTGGCCCCCAGGACACACTGCTGGTCGTGGACAACTTGTTATCCAGCAGGACCCCCAGGTCCTTCCCTGCAGAGCTGCTCTCCAGCAGGTCAGCTCCCAACTTGTACAGGTGCCCAGGGTTGTTCCTCCCCAGGTGCAGGCATTTGCCCTTGCTGAATTTCAGACGGCTCCTCTCTGCCTGTCTCTGTCTCTCCAACTTCTCGAGGTCCCTTGAAGGGCTGCAACAGCCCTCTGGGGGATCAGCCACTCCTCCAGCTTTGTGGCACTGAACTTGCTGAGGAGGCATTGACCCCTTCATCTGAGTCATTGATGAGTAAGTTAAACAATGCTGGGCCCAGTACTGAACCCTGATGGACACCACTAGTGACAGGCCTCCAAACTAGACCCTGATTACAATCCTCTGGGATCTGCCATTCAGCCAGGTCTCAATCCACCTCGCTGTCCGCTTATCCCACCCACACTACCTGAGTTTGCTGAGAGAAGGTGTCAGAAGCCTCCCTGAAGCTCATTAGGCAATATCCACTGCTCTGCCTCAGACGATGCTGCAGCTATAACTTTTGGAAAGAAGAGCCACATGTGTTTGGTGAGTCCTCAGTCCCTGTTTCCCCTGACAGGGTCCCTGTTGCAATGCAGTGTACACACAGCTGTGTGCTCTGTTCTCCCACACCATGTTGCACACACATAGGCACTCAGGGAGGTTCCCTGCCCACGTAAACCAGGGCACTGATTGATGGTTCGTGGCTTTCACCTTGTTCTGACCCTGCTGCTCTGTGCAACCCAGCTGTGGTTTGTTTCAGGATTAATAACAGGTAATCAGCAATGTGGTGACAGTGATGTGCCATGTACCAGGGAGCAGCATCCTCCTGTGGGTCAGGACCATATTCCTAAAATGAAAGAAATGACAGAGTTGGTCAAGTTTGATGCTACTTGTACTTTGCAATATGTGTAGTTACAGGGCCTGGTATTACATACTGAGCCTTATGAAATTGCTGTCATGTATTTCACTGTTACTTGACATAATATGAAGCTGTCTCAGGGGAGTGTTAGGCTGGATATTGGGAAAAGGTTCTTCCCCCAGAGGGTGGTCAGGCACTGAACAGGCTCCCCAGGGCAGTGGTCATGGCCCCAAGGCTGCCAGAGCTCAAGGAATGTTTGGACAATGCTCTCAGGGACATGGTGGAATTGTTGTGGTGTCCTGGGCAGGGCCAGGAGCTGGATTTTGATGATCCTTGTGGGTCCCTTCCCTTTGATTCTGTGATTGTATACCAGGTTATATGCCTTGTTCAGGTCATGGCCAGTAAGAGTCAGAGCAAAACTGAGAGCAGCTCTGCATGCAGTTCTGAGCAGTTACTGTGAACATTATGTCTTGCATACTATGTCCTTGAATTATGGAAAAGATATTCATGACCCAGCATGGCTCAGCTTTTACCTGAGGATACCTTTTACCTTAGGAGACCTCAGAGCACATGCTGCAATTTTTGTGATGCCAACATAGTAGGAGCACTCAATTCTGGGGAATGCCTGCAGGAGCATTCTCTTGAAAAGCACAGGACAGGCATTGCCTGGAGCAAAATGAGTCTGGTTCCTGCTGATACAGAGCTGAGATGACCAGATTCAGTCAGCAGCACCCTTTACCTGTGCTGTTTAAAGCTCTGCCTTACCTGAGAATAACAAATTCTTGCCATACATGCTCCTGTACTAGATGGGACCTCTCCAGCCCCATCTTCAAGGTCACAGCCTGATTGGAGTCTCATTGGGAAAAGTGTCCAGGAGTCCAGCTCATGCAAAGCCCTCCCAGCACCTGGAAAGCAGCAGGTTAGAAACTTCCTGAGCACTGAGACCTTTGTTAGAGCTTTTTCAGCACTTCTTCATGAAGCTTCCCAACCCCTTTTCTTGAACCTGTTGACTCCCACCACACCTTGTGACAGTCTGTCCCGACCTCTGAGCTGTGGGAAAAAGCTTCTCCTTCTGTTTGAAGTATCATAGCAGATCCAGTGTTGTCACACAGCAGGTAGCTGGAGATTAGATTAGGTATTAGGAAAGAATTCTTTACTGGGTTGGAAGGGACTTTAAAGATCATCCAGTCCCCCCTCCCTGCCATGGGCAGGGACACCTTCCTCTAGACCAGGTGGCTCGGAGTTCAGTCCAGCCTGGCCTTGAACACTTGCAGGAATGGGGCAGCCACAACTTTTCCAGGCAACCTGTGCCAGGGCCTCACCACCCTAAATAATGCCAAGTAGCCTGGGCTGAATGCCAGTTCAGTATGAGAGAGAAATGTGTCTCCAGTTTTTATTGCACTGTATTTATCTGTAATCAGTTTAATCTGTTTGCAGATCCTTTATAGCATTCAATGATTAGCTTGATAATTTGGAAAAGAGTCAAAAGCACTGGACATTTTTGTGCAGGCAAAAACATGGAGACAGCAACAAAGTGTTGCAGAAGTTGCCAAGGAATGCTTTTCGTCCCTGTTACATAAATGGGGAGTGCTCCTTGAATCCTCTAGCTGATGTGGTTGGAAGTGATCTTTTTTTCCATCTTCTAGGAGCGAAGATGCTCTTTATCAGTGTTTATTTGTAGGTTCCTTGGCCCCTCTCAAATCTCAGAGTGGTGTGACTGCATTTCCACGTGCAATCAAAGGGTCAGTGACACTTTTGGCCTCACAATATTTGTGTTTTCTTTGTCCTGCAAGCTCTGCTGTGCCCCCTGCATGGTAGCACAAACTGCCCTGCCAAATAACAGGTGGCTGCAAAAGCTGTTCTGTTTTCTGGGACGTGTTGTCTCTTGCAGAAATGTGAATAATCGCTTCCCAAGAAACTACTGGAGAGGTTCTGTTCAGCTTTTTTGTCCTCAGGTGCCTTTGTTGCATTTTGCCATATCTCAGCAGTGGGACCAATTCTGAGCTTGTCCCCTTTTCCTTGTTTTTTCCTTAAAAAGGATGATGTTTTGCAGATGTCTACGTATTGAAAATACGTTTCCAAGCAGAACTGAACCAACAGCCATCTGAAAATACTGTCAAGTCCCAAATCTGAAGGTAAGGAAAAGCATCTGTCTTAGATACCTGGCACCATTATCATTTTTATTTAAATAAAGTTGCATGTGATCTGAATAATAGGGAGCAGTGGGGTGCATCCATGTACTACCAGTTTATGGCCTGTTTATGAAGCCAAGACACGTAGGATGTTACTTCAAAGGCTTTCAGAAGCCAAATAGTCATAAGGATATTTACAAACCTTAAATCAAACCAAAAACCCTTGTGCAGTGCAGTTAGCTCTGTTCCAAAGAAAACGAGATGCCAGCTTGTCCTGTAAAACAAAAGTGATGCATTGGCACACCAGCAGAGACTTGAATTTGCTACATTTGCCCACTGCAAAATGCCTGAATAACAATCAAAGACCCAGAAATTTTTTTTTTTTTTTAACTTTAGGATAGAAAACTGCAACGGGCCACTACTGCATTTTCCTTGTACCTGGAGCTTGTTTCCACTGCTCTGTGTCCAGCTGGCTGCAGTGGCTGTGGCATAGATGGGTGTTAAATTGGTCACATACCATGCCAGGAATGAAAACTTGGATTTCATGATTCCTGTTTGAAAACCAGAGAGTGCCAGGCAACGTCCTGTCTGCACTTGCATTGTTCAAGATAAAACCATGTGTCCAGCCCAGCCTTGCCCAGGATGGAGCTAAACAGTTAGATGAGTTTATAGTGGCAACAAAGAATAACCCTGAAAGATGCATTTGAAAACAAACAGTTTCAGCAGTCAGCTGTAGTGACCTTGCTTTGCAAGGCAGCACAACCTTGGCCAGCTCAAGGTCACCTGAAGTTCTGTTGTGGGTTTCTTTTTTTAAGCTTTCTGCTACACATTTTCCAGAGCAAATGTGAAGTGTTTGCAGTTTCTGCCCTTGCCTCATCTCATACAGTAAAAGTGATTTCAGGGATGTGCACAGTGTCACCAAGTGTGTTCTTACATCCTCTCTGCCAGGATGGATAACAGAAAGTGGCCTCTCCTCAGTGCCCACAGCTGGAATTTCCAGCACAGAGAAGACCATGCAGAGAGCCAAACACATTGGAAAGCCAGCTGGGACAAGGAGCTTGAGAATTGCAGGGAAAATATGGAATATTTTAAAGCTAAGTATACAAAAGCAATGGGGAATTTACATGTAAGAAAAGGGAGAAAAAAATTTTAAAGAAGGATGGCTGGGGAGGTTTGGAGACAGAAGGAATGGGAAAAAGAACTGCTTACGAAAGCCTCTACCTTGGAGATGTGGAAGACCATGGCTATATCAAAGCTTACCAAGCTATATGAAAGGATCATCTTTTAAGGACAGGAAGAAAGACAAGGCCAAGGAAAGATACAGTCTGTTACTGGGAGAAGCAAAAAGGAGTTATCAACAATGCACCTTAAAATACGTGAGCTGTGGAGGAATGACAGAGAATAAAGAATTTGTATAAATAGGTAAATACATTGAGCAGCTGCCTCCCTGCCATGTGCTCTCATTTTCTCTGCTGCCAGAGAGCACGGATGTTTCTTATTTATTTACTTCTAATTACTGAGATACAGACTGCCACCGATGAGATAAATGTAGGTCAGAATGCTGGTCTTCCCCTTCTCTTCCCTCAGGGTGTCTCCACAGCATCTCTATAAAAACCTTGTGAAAATGCCACTTCTCCAGACCCCACACCATCTCTCCAATGCCCTGGGCTCTCAGCCCTCTCCCCAGTCCCAGAACAGTCAGTGCCAGGAGCAGAGGCAGAGGCCAAGCTGCCTGACTTCCAGGCATTTATCCAGCTACATGGGGCAATGGCATATCCAACAAAATCTAAGAGACTAGGTTGGTGAAAAAGAGATGGAAAAGAAGGAGGGGAGCATGAGAGGAATGGGTGTGGATCTGATGTATGTTGTTGGCAGGGATCATAAGGGCAGAACAGTCATAGCTGGTATTTATGAGGCTGCTGTTTCCACTCAGGATGATGGGACGTTCCCTTTTTTCCTGGCTGCAAGTGCAGTTGTTCACCTTTACATACAAAAAAATTCCAACCCTGCACTTTGCTGAATTGTGCTTATTTTGTGCAGTAAAATCCCTTGTTACCCATGCTGGTCTCTAAAAGGCATGCGAAAAATGTGGATTGTGCAAATTTCATACATACTGAGTCCTCCTGTCTGCCTAGAAATAACCTGTGTCACCACACCTTTGCTGTCTGTGCAGACAAACCTCTGTTTTACAGAGCCTCTGTGGTGGGTGCTGTGGAAGAACTACAAGGACAGAAAAGTCATTCTGGAACAAGTTTTGCTTTTTGACACAAAAGCTTGTCCAGAATAGATGAAAACCTGAGTGGAGAAGCCCAGCAGGACTTGTGTTCATTCAGTTCATACAGAGCCAGAGCAGAAAGGTTTCTTTTCATTGTTCCCCTTGTTTAGCAAACACTTCTCAGGATACCAGCAATACTTTTAATCTGGCAGGAGCACTTTTGTCAACCCCTTCAATTATTCTTCATGACCAGAGTAAGTTTCTATCAAAAATACTATCTCAGAATAATGTTTGTTTTCAAAATACAGCTCTCTTTGTCCCGCTGCACTGTCTTCATTGGCTGGAGCGAGATAAAAGGGCTTGGCTGAGTAACTCAGACCTCAAGAGAAGCAGCACATGGTCCAGGTTCACAGTTGTCAGCCTTGTGCCTCCTCTGTTCAGGGTGTGCTGCAAGGTAGAGACAGGTCTGTCCACAGGTGGAGAAGCTCCGGGTAGTAAGAAAACTACCATTGTGTCTCCTGGCAGCCAGAGGTAAGAGATTTGGGCTGGGACTAGTGGTGTGAAATGAATGTGTAGGGCAGGGGAATGAGATTTCTCATCATCCCAGTTCAATTTCCGAACTACAGTCACTCTGGGTCTCCTCTCAGGAACATTTTTCTCTGTGTGTACTGTTCAGTTTTGACAAAAAGGTACATTTTGTTGCAGGTGCATTTTGGCTGCAAAGCTTGGATGAGCTCTGGAAAGTGTCTCTGTTACTTAACCAGATAGAAAAAGTAGGATGGTTTCATTCTGCAGATGGGAGCCCCTGTGATGTGCATGTTTGGTGCAAGCCAGCAATGTAATTTACAATTTTGTGGTGTTGAAGGAAAAATTATTTTGCAAATTACCTCCCTTATTCACATGCTGCATTCCTAAAAGTATCACTTGGAATATCTCAACATTTTCAAAATAGTTTTTGCTTAAGTAGAAGTGCCACTAAGAAACACAGACTTCCTGAAGGAGTTTTAGTTTCAGTGAAATAATATTGTCTGATTTTAACCCATTCTGCTGTCGTGTTTCAAAACAAGAGGTATGTTAGGAAGGAGCACAGGGGTCTCTGTAGTTCTGCCCCTGATGTGGGCACCTGTGCCAGCATGAATGTATTTAAACCATAGGCTCAAGGTTGTGGTTAATCAGGTAAATGACTATAAATAAATCAACCAGAACTATGGGAAAGTGCTTTTCTGTTTGGTTTGTCTGAGGTTATTTTCCTTTATTTATTTATTTATTTATCTATCCATGCAATCTGCATGAGGCCTGGAGCTAAGCAAAGCAAATTGTGTACATGACTGCAGCCCTTCATGACTGCCTGCTCTCCTGCTTAGCTCTCCTGGTGCCATGGAGGACACGTCCTGCCAGAAGTCCGGACCAAGCAAAGACACACTGGGCTCCCCAGTGCCACAGGAGACTCCTGCCCATTTCATCCACGTCAAGTTGGAGGAGTATGAGCCCACAGACTTCAGCACCAAGGAACTCATCCTAAAGAAAGCCAGAGAGGTCTGCACATGCAATCGTCAAACCATCATCACCTTCCTGTGCCGGTTGTTCCCAGTGCTGGACTGGCTCCCCCGCTACAACATCAAGACACAGTTGCTTGGGGACGTCATATCTGGGCTCCTGGTGGGGATAGTCACCATCCCGCAGTCTGTCTCCTACTCCCTCCTAGCCAACCAGGATCCCATCTACGGGCTCTACACCAACTTCTTCTGCAGCATCATCTACGTCGCTGTGGCCACTTCGCGGCACAACTGCGTGGGCTCCTTCGGGGTGCTGTGCCTGCTGGTGGGGCAGAGCGTGAACCGGCACCTGCGGCTCGCGGGGTACGGCGACGACAGCTCCGACAGCTCCCCACTGCCGGGCAACGCCACCTCCGCCGGCAACGGGACGGGCGCCTGCGACAGGAGCTGCTACGCCATCACCGTGGCCCTTTCCTTAAGCTTTCTGGTTGGCATTTACCAGGTACGATTGTTTGCTCTTGTGCTGTTTCCTCCCTGTCCTTTTCCTGATAGGAATTTCTCTGAGTTTAAGATCTCTAAGCTCCAGTCTTGGTTTGGACTTGTACGTTGTGAGAAACATTTCCTGGTGTGACTAGACCCCAACATCCTTGACTCCCTGTGAATGTAGTGATTTTAAAATGTGCAAACACAGCTGAGTGGGGAGTTTTGTTTCCCCCATGTGATAGCCCAGATCCTTGAATGTGTCTGAAACACATCCTCATGATCAGACACAGCAAGGGAGAAGAGGAACTGTGAACCACCTTCCCACCACCCCAGTCCTAGACCTGGGCAGCTTAGAGCAGATTTGGGGCTGACAAGAGCCACCCTCAAGGACCCTGCCATGCTCCCTGGCAGTGTCCCCACTGCCTGGGCTTAGCTGTCACTGAACAACTCCAGGCTATTTCACTGGGACAGCTAAAATTTAGAGCATCACAATGGTTTTATGCCACTGAGTGATACTCAGAGCTCCTTTGGTGGGGCTTCTGCCTGGAATCTCAGTGTTAACCATGTGCCCTTATTGCTTCTAAGGAGGAAGTAGCAGGGACCTCGTAGGCTTCTTTGCATGGTATCCCTATAGCCACAGACAGGTGTTAGAGGTAGGTCTCTTTAATTTTTCATATGCCAGATTAACTACTGAAGACAAAGTCCTCTGCCTCACGCTGAATGCTCATCAGACAGAGTAGCCAAAGCTGCTAAACTGGAAGCAAACTGACCTCTTTCAGCCCTTCTCATCCATGCTAAAGGTATGGCTGGTTTGCTTTTCAGATCCTGCTGGGGGTTTTACAGCTGGGATTTGTGGCTGTCTACCTGTCAGAACCTCTCCTTGGTGGCTTTGTGACTGGCTCCAGCCTCACCATTATCACCTCCCAGATGAAGTATCTCCTGGGACTGAAAATCCCGCGTCACGAAGGGGTGGGATCATTCATCCTGACCTGGGTTGACCTTTTCAGATACATTCAGAACACCAACATCTGTGACCTGGTCACCAGCCTGGTTGCTTTGGCCATCATAGTGCCTGTCAAGGAGATCAATGACCGGTACAAGGAGAAGATGAAGGCCCCGTTCCCCATAGAGCTGCTGGTGGTCATTGTAGCCACAGTCGTATCTCACTACTTCAACTTTGAAACGCGATACAATTCTGATGTTTGTGGGGATATCCCCACTGGTTTCAGGAAACCCACTCTACCAGATATAAGCCTGTTTTCCAGCCTGGCAATTGATGCTCTGCCCATTGCTGTTATTGGCTTTGCCATGACCATCTCCCTGGCAGAAATCTTTGGCAAAAAGCATGGCTACACTGTCCGTGCCAACCAGGAGATGATTGCCATTGGCATGTGCAACCTGATCCCTTCCTTCTTCTACTGCTTCGCCAGCTCTGCAGCCCTGACCAAGACTCTGCTGAAGGAGTCCACGGGGACCCAGACCCAGGTCTCTAGCCTGGTCACCTCCCTGGTGCTGCTGCTGGTGCTGCTGTGGATTGCCCCGCTCTTCTACTCGCTGCAGACCTCCATCCTGGGGGTGGTCACCATCGTCAACCTGCGGGGGGGCCTGAGGAAGTTCCGTGACACCCCCCGGATGTGGCGGCTCAGCAGGCTGGACACGGTGGTGTGGTGGGTGACCATGCTGTGCTCCACCCTGATCAGCACAGAGATCGGGCTCCTCGTGGGCGTCTGCTTCGCTCTGCTCTGCATCATCTTCCGCACGCAGAGACCCAGAGCCATGCTCCTGGGCAAGGTCAGCAACACGGAGATCTACGAGGACCAGTCCACTTACAAGCAGCTCAGCAGCATCGCCAACATCAAAATCTTCCGCTTCGAGTCGTCCCTCTACTACGCCAACAAGGACTATTTCAAGACTGTTCTGTACCAGAGAACTGGGGTAAATCCTGTTCTGCTGGCTGCTAAACACCAAAGGGTGCGGGCCCCAGCAAACACAGAGACAGGCAACAGCAAGAGCTTTTTGGGCACTGGGTTTGACTGCCTGAAACAGGCCAAGAAAAGGGCTGAGAAGCCTCCAGCAGATGCCTGTCCTCCCTCCATAGATATGCACACCTTAATCCTTGACTGCGGGGCAATGCAGTTCATAGATACTGTGGGTCTCTCTGTGCTGAAGGAGACATATCATGACTATAAGAAGATTGGTGTCCAGGTACTCCTGGCCAACTGCAACCCCTCCATCCGCCACCGGCTCCGGGAGGGAGGCTGGGCTGGCGAGACAGGCAGTGAGGGTCAGCTGGCTTTCCACAGCGTCCATGATGCAGTGCAGTTTGCTGAGCGGTGGTACCATGTGCACCAGGAGGAAAGCAAGGAGAAACAGGATGCTCTCCTGGACTCCGAAGACCTGAACTTCCAGGCGTCTTTGTAGACCTCTGTGTGGGGAATGATTTCTAACGGGGAAGGGCTTGGTACGTACTCGAGAGCAGCTTCAGTCTTTGTGCAGTCAGAGCGCGCAGGAGAGACTTGTGATGATCTGCCAGCAGGGGCATGCGGCAGAAGGACAGGGGGAGAGATTTGAGGAGAGGTTGGCAACAGGTAAATCGTCCGGGAGGCGTTTTTGGGGTCCGTCGTGCCGGTGAGAGCCGGGGCGGCGTTTGAGGCGCTCCCGCCCTGCACTGCCCCGCGGGGGCGCGGGGGGGCGCGAGTGAGACGCGCTCGGGGCCGCCTCCCGCAACCCCGGCGGGCTCGGGGAATCCGGGATGGTTTGGGGGGGACGGAGCTAAAGGTCATCGCCTTCCAGCCCCCTGCCATGGGCAGCGACACCTTCCACTAGACCAGGTTGCTCCAAGCCCCGTCCAACCTGGCCTTGAACACTTCCAGGGATGGGGCAGCCACAGGGTCAAGATGGGACACTAAGACAAAGGAAAGAGGAGCTGCAGGCAAGGTCAAGAGAGACATGGAGCTCCTGGAGTGGGTCCAGCCGAGGCTGCGGAGATGATGAAGGGACTGGAGCATCTCTCTTAACAAGAAAAGGCTGAGGAAGCTGGGGCTGTTCAGCCTCGAGAAGAGACACTGAGAGGGGACATCATCACTCTCTGTCAGTATTCCACAGTTGAAATTACAGATTTTCTCCCCCCCAAAAAAAAGGTACCGGAGATCACCAGCTGCTCTTCATAAACTGTAAATCAGGAGACCTGTGCCACAGCCTGCAAGAGCCACAGTTCTCCCAGTGCCTGGCAGGATCTGTGCTACCTGCACTGCACATCCACGTGTGTAGCTGGATCCTGCCTGCAGCAGGAGACGTGGAGCTGTCACTCCCAGCAGTGGGGCAGGGCTTTCTGACACCTCCAGCACTTCAAGGTGTGCAGCTGGAGGAGCCTCAGCTCCATATTGGACACGGGTACCTGTCCTTTCTGCTGGGCTGGGACAGGGACAGGCAGCATCCTGCTGGCCCTGATGCTGCACCCCAGGGGTGAGTGTGTGCTCCAAGCTCTGAAGACTCCACAGCACTGCCAAGTCCCAGAATAGCTTTTCTTCCACTAACTCCATCTGTAAAAACACCTTCTATGTTAAATATTTCTATGCGACTATTCCTCTGGCCTCATCCAAGCAATGCAGCACCTTCCTCTGAAGGGAACTGTAGCTTGGAAGCCCAGGGACAGGAGACTGTTGTAAATAAAGTGTATGGAAAAGGAATCCTATGTCTCTGCTCAGGAATATGTCTTCTTATGCTCAAAAGATTATTTTGAATGTATTAAAGAGCATGGTGTGCCCAGCTGCTTGCAGGTCCTTGGGAAAAAGCTGTGTCAAGCAGAACTGGATTGACTGAAGATCTCGGTGCAGGACCTTGCAGGGCTGGATGTATTCAATGAGCTCTAGGTGTGGGTGCAAGTGGGGTGCAGCCCTCAAGAGCTGCAGCATCTCTCTCCAACAGTCCTCTCAGGCCATCACAGCATGAGGCAACTCCCCAGGGAGGTTGCATTAGCCATGACTAATGGGGCAGTTTTGTAGCTGAACAGCAAGTTAGTAAAGAAGTCTTGTTACCTGCAAGGTTTATGACTATCCTTCCCCTTTGGAATAGCATTGCCATAATTTTCTTTATAAGACTCTTTATGGAGAAAATGAATTTGTTTTAGTTAGACTTTAGATGCATTTATGGTCTCAGTGGGGTCATAAAGCCACAGCAGGAAATAAAATCAGTGCTGATAATTCCTGGGCACAGCCTGGTACAGTTCAGAGCAGATGAGATTATGGTAAGAGCAGCAGGTCCTGCAGCCCCCTGCAATGGGACACAGCTGTTTTATGTGAGCAGTTCCTGCTCCCAGCCTGCTCAGGGCTGGGAGAGCTGTGAAAATGACAAAGAGATACACAGCAGTTTTTATGGGATGCCTTCCCTTGGAAAGGAGAGCTGGGCTGACAACCTCCTTCCCTCTCCTTTCCAGCCCAGAGTAGCCAGGATCTTGCTGGCAGACCTTGCCCTGTCTGCTCGCCCATATCTTCCATCCCATCAACTCCAGCATCTCCTTCCAGCCTAGAGTTCAAACATCCCAGGGACCCAGCATTCCTTCATTCCCCACAGACTGCCAAGGGAGCTCAAGGATAATTGCTGTTTTTATATCAGTGAAGAGACACAGGGTTGTACACGACACAGAGTAGAGACGAGGAGGGACGAACGACACAGTCCAAGGTCAGTTTATAGTCAGTGTTGTGGAAGATCAGGCTGCTTTTCATCACCTGCAGCTCTTGGTGGAGGCAGATGTGAGCAGGAAGGTGAGCAGGTGATGGCACTGGCCAATTCCCAGTGAGGAAAGGGCTCCTGGTGAGGGGACAGGGCACTTGTGTGCCCCAGAACCCTGCTGCAACAGCCCAAGTCCCTCTGTTTGCCAAAGGGCCACAATGTCTCAGCTGGGGATGGACCCCCCACATGTCCCACCCAAGGACCTGCCTCTGTGACCCACTGGGAACAGGCTGCACTCCAGGCATCCTGCTTGCCTGTCCCTCCTAAAGCTTCACCAGGGGCCAAGGAAATGCCATCCAGCTGAAAGCAAATGTTATCCCCCCCAGTAAGCAGCTCACCTTGCTTTGGATCTATAAATACTCCAGGAGTGTGATAGAGGATTGCTGCTAAGGCTTTGTCAGCTGCAGTTGGAGCTGACTGTGCAACTGTTAATTATGCCTCAGCAGCATCTGGACAGGTTTAAATCCTTTTGATGCTTTGAAATGTTCCCTCTGGGGAAGTTTAAGGAGTAAAGATTGTGGCTGGTGCTGATTGCTTTCCCTTCTAGAAAGTGTTGGAGACACTGATTGCTGCATGGAGGGCTGTTCTCCTTGCTCCCAGTGCCTGTTCCTGGAAACACACACTCTGTATAATGGCAAGAAGTTGCTCCTGCAGATCCCTAACTGCAGTAAAGCAGTTACTGTGCTGCCAGCACATGCTTATCTACCCATGTGTGCTTTCCCTAGCAGACAAAACTGAGCTGGAAAGAGAAAGCAGTGAGCTGCAGGTGATGACACTGGATTTTCTGGGATAAAAATAAAGATTAGGGCCAGCATTAATGCATCACTGGAGATAGCCTGGTGATGGAGGAATCAGCAGGCAGTGGCTTGGGATAACCTAGTCCGGGTGGGGGTGAAGAGCTCCTGGAGAATTTAGCACAAGCCCCCTTCTCCCCCAGCTGCCCGGGGAACTTGTCAGGCTCGTTGCACAGTCCAGGCTGGCTGCAGGTAGGGAGAGGGTGTCCTTGTACCTCCCTGAAAGGGAAAACTCACCCCACCACTCACTCTGCTCCTCTGGGAACAGTCACATCACAGCCTGGTTCCCACAGGGAAAACAACAGCGCTCCAAAGGGAGAAGCTGTCAGCTCTCACAGAGGGAAGGAAAAAGAGAAAGAACAGGGATGAAATTATCTGAAGAGGAAAATTACTCTGCGCAAAATTCTTGCAATATCCAGGATCCTCACAAACAGCAGTAGCTGCTGGTCTCTGTGATCTCCTACAAAATAGTGGAATCAGCCCAGTGCCTGGGAAATCTTCCTGCAATTGGTGTTTTGCTACTGAAGCAGCTCTACTCTTTGCCCTTTTTTCATCCTTATCTGGATGGAGACGATTTGCTCCACTTTGTGTCTGATCATTTTCTGACTTTTATTCAGAAAGTCTGTCAGGGAGAGGAAGCAGATCAAAGCCCCTCCTTTTCACTGCAGGCTGAGGGCCGTGTGCTGCCCAGCCAAGGCCCTTGTGCCACAAATCCTGCTGCCCCCAGTCACTGCCCGGGAACAGCTGCTGCCCTTGCAATCTATGGCAAAATCCTGCAGTTTTGTCATGTTTCACAGTTTTAGGGCTCTTTGGTGGGTACCTGAACAGCCCTGGCTCCTGGGAAGTTCATGGAGAGAGCTGTTGCATCTTTAAAAAAAAAAAAAAAGTACATAGTCCACATAGTTACAGGAAAAAAGGTACAGGAAAGGTGCTTTTTTGAGTTCTAAAGGCTGAAAAAAAGAGAGTCCAACAAGAAGAAAATGTTTCTTTTGTTTTCTTTCTTTAGTGACTGGGAAGTGTGTTTCAGCAGGTACAATTGTGGTTTCTATATAGAGACAAGATTAAATGTATTGTAAAAGATCTGCCAAGCCAGACCATAGCTGAGACTCACAAGGCAGGCAATGGATAGCAGATACTAAAGTTCACTAAAGCAAAGGAGAAATAACAGTGGTGAATGCTGACAGCTCAAAGTTGTTTCTATTTCAGACCATTCTTGCCAAGGAATCTGTTCATCACTTTTCTGTGTTAAATTACTTTATTATTTTTAAAGAAAAGAACATTTAATTGAATGTTTGGACTTCCAATAAATGCTGCCCCTCTCTTCTAAGTCCCTATTTACTCTAAATGTGATAGCTGGCAGTGTCATGTCTCCTGCCACCACTGCTCTGCCCTGTGAGCAAGTGGGCAGAGCGTGGGTGCTGGGCAGCTCGTGGGGACGGGGTCATGCAGGGACAGGACAGCTCTGTTTGAGTCAAAAATAAACCAAAAGCCACACCTAAGGCAGGTAGAGGTTGTGTGGATGTGCAAGGGAAGCGCGGGCTCACCAGCCACTGGATGGCATCGTTGTTTCACATGGATCCGAGCTCTCGGGCTGCCCTGGCCCCTGCCCTGGAGCCGCTGCTGGAGGCTGGGCACCAGCTGGTTTTTGGGAGACTGTGGTTCCCCGGACGGTGGTGTGACAGTTCATGGCCTGAGTGACGCCGTGCATTGGCAGATCTGCTCCTGCAGGGCAGAGGGCACTGGAAGATCGTGGTCTGTGCCACGCTCAGCTGTCCCCGTGGGTGCCACCACTCCGGTTCCAGCTCCCTGACCTCAGAGACTGGCTGGATGGTGACACAGCCTGGGGTCCCCTTCAGTGGGGGTGACAGGGGTGCCACCTTCCTGTGTGCCCTCTGCCATCCTGCCACAGACCTCAGGGAGCTCATGCCACTGCTGAATTCCCCCCCGCCATGTGGTGCCTTTGGAAGAGGGAGGACTTGAGACTTGGCAGCTGAGCAGCCATGGCTTAGGTCAGTCAGGGCCCAGGGGCCAGTGGCATTCATGTGAAATGTAGACACACTGGACCCTCCGTGTTTCCTCAGGGCCTGTACTCACCTCATTCTACCCTTCCTTCCACCCACACCTGTCCAAACCACTGTACCTTAAAAGCAATGGGATTATTCCTGCTCACGGTCCATGCGCAGGAAGGGAACGTCTCCGTGGGGAAGAGTCAGCTCAGGCAGTGCAGAGGGAAGAGCCCAGCAGGTGGGAAAGTGCCTGCAGTGGGTGGGAACCTCCTTGCAGTGGGTGGGAAGGTACCTGCAGGGGTGGGAATGTCCTTGCAGTGGGTGGGAAGGTGCCTGCAGCAGTAGTTGCAGCAGAGGATGCCAAACAGGTAACAACTAAAGGAAGAGAGACCTGCTCCTCTCAGTGCATTGCAGAGGACAGAGGCACACAGCTCACACCTTCACATGCAGATTGGGAGAAATTAATATTTGAAAAGATGTTAGACTGGAGGGGTTGGTGATGCTTCCTTGGAGCGTGTAGGCAGCCCTACTGCTAATGCTGCTTTTTAACTACCTGCACAAGCAGCTCCTGCCTCTCCAACTAAGACTTACACCTGTTTATAGGCTCTTAGAGCTGTCAAGCTCCCCACATTGAGTGCAGATGAAAAGAGGAGCATTTAGTGCCTCTATGCGTGTGCAAGAAGGGAAGGACCATTCCCACTTCTTTCCAACAAGGAGCAGAAAGCAGCAGCTGAAACAGGCTCCAGATATGCAAAAGGGCACATCACACAGGAGAATTAATGCAGGAACCACTTGCCCCAGATGCCAAAAATGTGTTTGTAATGCAGCAGGAGCAATTAATGGAAGAACAATGAATTGAGGCGGCACCATCCTCTCTGGCTGAGGGATTTGTTTAACTGCACATCACTGGAGGCTCGGAGGGTGTCCCAGGGATGCCTCTGCTTGCCTGACCCTAAATGCCCGACTCCCTCTTAACCTTTTCCTTAGATATCGACTAGTAGCCATTATAGGGATAAGATATGGGATTAGACAGACCACTTTTATTCCCCAAGCACTACAATAACTGGGCTGACTCCTGTTGGGATGCCTCAGGCTCCTGTGGCCAGACCACAGGCAGCCAATTCTTTCTTTTCTTCTAATTTTTCCTCT